ATTCCAATTATCGGACCATTCCATAGATTTCAGACGATCAATATCATGATTCTTGATCATTATATGAACGACGTATGTAAACAAACTCATAAAAGGTCAGTCGTATGTCCGCATTTTTCTTCGATGCCCCCAACTTCGAGGTTTCGATTATATTCGAAGTGTACTCCACAAGAGAGTATCCCTGAAACAAGTCCCTAATTTAAATTCTTCATAATTCTCAACTTATGAACAGTCTCACATATCAGTCTACACTAAACTCCCAGCACTATTAAAGACTTCACGTATCTCGTGATATATTTACATAGAAGGTAATCAACGGAAGTGAAGGTTAAGTGAAGATGTAACTGGACTCATGTGGAACATAACTGCATTCAAATCACACAGTAGAAACTTCCCATGTATAATATTAAGCTTGTAAAACGTAAAACTTTATATCAGTACCAGAACGTAGAATCATAATAGTTGTAAATCATGCCAACACTTACGTCAGACAGCCTCGCACACAACGCTGTTAATAATATCTATCAAAGTCAGTTCCACATGTGACCTTTCTATATTATACATTCTGTCACTTAAAACGCATCTGTTCGTGCGATCGATAACATAAACTCATATTTCTACATCTACATGATTAATTTAATTCATCATTCATAAATGTTCGTGCACATTATCTAGGCAAAATACAATCGCTTGCAAATCAAAATATATTAATAATTTGTTCCTCGTTATAATGTCCGTAAATCATGTTGCCAAAACTGACCAAGAATTTCTCTTGGCAATCTCCACAACCTTACAACCTATTTAATATCCATTTCATTATTATTCCGAAATAGATATCAGTCAGGGCTTTGATTCCCAACACAGACAGGGCTCACTTCTAGACTACCTCTGAAACACACTACAGCAACCAGGAATTGACCACCCACTATCCCCCATCCATTACCGAGGTTAAGAATGCATGGAGCTGTAACTGTTCTCCCCTACACATCTTTGTGAGGTAGTTCTCTTTCTTTAAATGTTTTTGACCAAGATCTAAACCCACGTGAAGACGTAGTGCGTCGCTCTAAGCACTTACAAACTACTCAAAGTTGTTTTAACCATTAGAAAAATTTATAGCAGATGCTGAAGACAGATACGGCAAAGTGCCTCGTGACAAAGAGGGGAGGACCTCAGTGTGGGATCTGCTCCTGGCTGTGACATACGACATGCTGGAAGCCACAAATGGTAGATCCATTCTCGGCAGAATGAACCGGTCGCTGACAGAGCGATTATGAAGAGTTTCGAACAACTGACGAGCTTAAAATTCACTGAAGCATAACGGAGGAATTTTTTTTTGTAGAAAGTGGTAACTGTACATGATACGATATATCGACCTCGTTAAAAAAAAAATTTACAGTACAAAAAAACCCAAAATGAAAATGATGATTTTTTTTATTTTTTTTTGGGGGGGGGGTTACGTAAACAGATGTTAAGAAGAATTGTATGTTCTCACGGCTGAGAGTAATGTAACGGCTGTAGCCTGTCATATGATACAGAAGTTTCAGAGGTTCTGGGGTGACGGGGGTAGCAAATAGCTTTCGAAACGTCGATATACTTCTACCATACTAAGTGAGCTACAGCCCAGTAGATAGCCATCTTCAAATGTCAAAAAAACAATTACCCCAGTTGAATCGAAGCTAAATGTAAAGAACCAATCAGTTTTCAGCAATCCACGTATTTTCCAAATACGAATTACAATCGTGCAACTTGTACGAGGTGTGAGAACCATATACGTCGTAACATTCTAAAGTACACACAATTAACAGACAAATAAATAGGATCTATGAACAACAGACTTAGCGTTCTGGTTTGTTCCGGTATGAAACATAATAATAGCAAATCAACTCAGAATGATTCCATACTACAATAATACAAAGTACATAAAGCGAGAGCATAATAGGAAAATCTTATTTATGATCGCCTTAATATCTTTCATCACCTAAGATAATAAACGGATTTTGACTATACTCGGCGTTGACAGTGCGTGCTGTATAAGTTGTCCCATAACTTCCATTTTATATCGTATCGTCAAATATATTTACATAAATCTCTTATCGAACTTACAAAACTTACTAAACGGTGGCTAATCTCACAAAATATTTGTTACCCACGTAACTTAAAATACAAGGCCTACAACTTTTACTTGAAATATTTCTCGGTGCGATAAACATTTAACAAAATACATTAAAAAGGATTTTAACATTTGACTAACTTAGCAACAAAACTCGGAGAACGTTGTCTGCGAATAATCGGTTGTTGGCGTTGCTGAATAAAACACAGATGGAAGATTATGACAGACACACAATAAATAAAATAATGGAAGAAAATAAATAATAATAATAATAATAAATGACGTATGTTCTTTGAAAATATATTACTCATATTTATTGAACATTGTATGAATCGTTACAAGATAAAGCAACCAAGAATCAAATAAATATATTTGCTAATATATGTGTCTTATATAATATACAACCGTGATATTACATGTTTAGTGACGCGTGCAAGGAATAAATCTCAATTGTATTATTACATGGCTTCGAAAATATAAGTTATTTTTACCCTACTTCGTTCAATTGTTCCACTTGAACGAAGGGAAATATATATAACTTATAAGAATAGCTGATACAACAAAACAATGCTATAACAAACTTCTTGTACATCATCCATTGGAGACATTTTAATTACAAATAACTATTCATTTTGTATTTACGTGTTTCGTGAGATTCTCACTGTAAACAGCGATCATTTCCTTAAACAGCGTTAACCATTTGATCTTTCGTAATGGCGAAGTGAAGTGTTTTCTTCGCGGTACGGACTGAATTCTTAAATACGATTTTCGCGAAAATAATACGATAATAAGCAAATAAATAACTGAAAAGGACATGGAAGGAAGCGGTCGTGGCCTAATTTAAGCTACTATCCTTGCATTTTAATAAGGAGACCGGAAAAAAATACAGGAAACTATTCTTCCAGGATAGCCGGTCTTTGAATCAATATATAAATTGGGGCCCCCCCCAAAACAGGAAGCAGACGTGCCAACCTCACGTCCGCGAATTTCGGTCTACACATCGTCACATCTCGAAAACGCGTTCTTCTCACAAACACGTCCCTGGAAAGCAGTTTATACAGAAGATTGGGGCTACGCCCCATAAACTGAGCGTCTAATCGACTTTTCTCGCTATCTTATCATCCACTAAGCTAATGACTTCGAACATCAACCTGGTGACTAAACTGAGCAGGTAATCGCATAACAAACACTGGAACCAGTCATATTTTATCACCACCATCAGTTCCCTGTTATATGACGTAGAAAATTCTTGTCCGAGGCTACTGTGAAGAAAGGTCAATAACTCGCATAATATCGCAGCAACTGTTTCCCCCCCCCCCCCCACACCTCGGTCCTTCGCGGACGTGAACACACCTGAGGACAACCGGGAAATTTGGACGCTGTACGCTCATCAGTTCAACTGCTGACACGGCGAGAAACAGACGCAAGGTAAGGACGGTGTTACAATACGATAATTCAATAGTAATTTTATTGAATTTCCTCATTTATTGCTTCGAAAGCTTGTTTATACCCCCCCTGTTTTTTTTTTAAACACAAATGTCCCTGTTCCCCGAACCGATTTATTGTTTATGTTATTTACAATTTTCACCACAAATACCTCGTCATTGAAGCTTTCGTTGTTTTATATAAACAAAACCTAAGCTTTGGAACTGTATTAATTTTTAAGTGTTATATTAAATCACTAATGGCAGTGTCTATAAATCTATAATAAAATCGGAGTTTGTTGTTTTGAGTCTAATTTATATTTCAAAAAGATAGGTTGTCGAGTGGCTATTACAATGCATTTAAGACGGACATTCCAAAAGATCAATGTGGATTAGAAAAAAAAATAGAGTTTTTTCTGGTTTATTTTAATTCGTTCATTACTGTAAATTATTTCGGGAAATATTTTTTAGAAGGTATTTAACAAACTTTTAATTGTCAAATATTATTTATTCGGGCCCAAAAACTATTCTTTATATCCCTGAAAGCATTAAAAGCTCAAAGCAATGTACAGTGCATATAGAAATATACATGAGAACACAAATTCCAATTAACCACTTTTGTACCAAGCGACAGAAATTTCTACTCGCATCTTCCCACTACTTTGATTTACCCGAATTACCATAAATATTTGCTACTGAAGAATCTATAAACTGACAGACAGCATGACAGTAACAAAGTTAATTCAATTCCGTACAAATTCACGAGCAAATCAGATTGGTTACGAAGCTTTTAAACTCGAAAAATCACATACTCAGATAATTTTTACAGCAGTATATATTTTAAAAAATAAAACATTTCGCTGACGCAGAATTTATGTAAAAGTTTCTCAGTTTGGAGATGGAGTGTCATTACCTACAGATACTGAGGGTAACTGAGGAAAACTTTCTTCCAGCCTGGGGTTTTGGCACGGGGCTACCAACATCACATCGTAAAAAAATAGCGTAAAATGAGCATGTTACGATGTGGACACACTGGGCTAACGTCTTGGAAAGATTTCCTAAATATTTATTTAGTTTTTAAAATAATGGTAATTATTAGCAGTTTATCCATAGTATCTTAAAACGTAGATCTGTTATGCCCCCAAATAAACTGCGCACTAATTACTCAAGCCAGCACTTTAAACACCTATTCTAAATAAAGACAGGCGAATAGGGCAAAACCGAAATATTATTTCAACACTGGAACATTTAAGTGCATAAATATTGCGATTAAATTATGTAATATCGTAATTTTTTTTAAACATTTCAGTGAAAATGAAGACGCCAGACGTTCTTTTGGTTTGTGGAGTTGTAATTCTGTCTGCGATTATTTCAGCTACAGGTACGTAGGCCTACATAGATGTTATGGTTTGAGTTTTCTTTGCGGTACGTTGTTTAATGTTACGAATTTTTAGATTATATGAACTTCGCCTTCGAAGACCTTACCACAGATATGTATAATAGTCTATCAGACATAAGCAGTATCATTATTATTTTAGACCAGACTAATAAAAAGGTGATTCTCAGGTGATAAACCGTCCAGGGTGGTGTGTTACTTCAGCAATTGGGCCATCACACGTCCGGGTGTTGGAAGCTACAGGATAGACGATGTTCCAGCAGACCTCTGCACTCATCTGATCTACTCTTTCATCGGAGCGAGCAACGTTACGTGGGAGGTGTTGGTTATTGACCCAGAGGTTAGCAAACTGTCATGAACACGGCCCACCCTGACGTGCATCAAAGAATTCAACTAGTCATCCATCGATTGACAATGACCGCCGTGGCTGATCTACCTTGTAACTACAAGCTGGCAACCTCCCCAATGTCTGCACGCTCACTTGTACTTGAATTCCAAAACTGCATTCAATTTTATTAGACTAGTAAATTAATTTGAATGGTAAAACACTTTTGTATTCCATGTCTCTTACGAGCATTTTATTTTTGTGTATAATTTTTTTTAGTTTGTAAGGGGCAGTGTCCTTGTGTGCAATATTTCA